TACTTTTTATAGCTTCCTTGACTTGCATAGTTAACCATGCATGCCTTCTTTTATACTTTCCTAACCTGTGCAATGCTTTTAGTTGGGCTTCAATTAGTGGGGTTTTAAATCGCTTCCAAGAATCCTCCAGGGATCTGACTCTCTTGGGTTTCCCCTTCAGCTTCCTTTTTACTATTCCCTTCATTGTTTTTAATTTAACTTTTTTATTATTATTTTCTCAAATAAAGGTGGGATACAGAAGGAAAGAAGAGGTAGGGGAAAATATAGATTCATCAAGTTTGTCAAATATTATGAGTTGTTACGTACAACAAGTAAAATCATAAGAACATAAGAGAAACCAACGTTGGATCAGCCCAAGGCCCCATCCAGTCCAACACTCTGCCTGTCACACGGTGGCCAAAAACACCAGGAGCCCTCAGCACAGAATAAAACATCAATATAGAATATATATAAAAGCAGACAATAAAACATCAATATTACAGAATTTTGGGATAGATCCTGTCTTTAAAGAATAATAATTTTCCTAAACTGAGCAATGATCTATTAACAATAAAAAGAGATTACATCTTTAACAGTTGAATGAACAGTTGGACGAACTTCTATGCTAAAACTGAATCATTGTAAAAACCTAAATATTGTCTTAATTTGTTGTCGAAGGCTTTCACGGCCGGAGTTCATTAGCTGTTGTAGATTTTTCGGGTGCTGTGGCCGTGGTCTTGGCATCGTAGGACCTGACATTTCACCAGTAGCTTGTGACTGGCATCCTCAGAGGTATAACACAGAAAGACAGAGTACTCTCTGTGTCAAGGTGAGAAGAAAATGGCAGGCAGGTAATTTATATCTACTCAGGAAGGTGGGGTAGGGCTGAGTCATTCTCTTGTGGGAGTTCCCCCAGGCTGTGAAACATGCTAATGGAGCTTTCCTGAGGAGGTTCTTTTGTATATGGATTATTTCCTGAAGAGGATTCCTGTTTCCTGAGGAGGTTCTTTTGTATGTTAGAACGGATAAAAGGAAGTACTTCTTCACCCAAAGAGTGATTCACACATGGAATTCACTGCCACAGGAGGTGGTGGCGGCTACAAGCATGGACGGCTTCAAAAGGGAATTAGATAAGCATATGGAGCAGAGGTCCATCAGTGGCTATTAGCCACAAGGTATAGATAGGGGCTCTGGGGCAAGTGATGCTCTGTCATCTTGGTGCTTGGGGGGGGGGTCAACAGTGGGAGGGCTTCTAGTGCCCTGGCCCCACTGCTGGACTTCCTGATGGCACTGGTATTTCTGGCCACTGTGTGATACAGAGTGTTGGACTGGATGGACCTTTGGCCTGATCCAACATTGGCGTCTCTTATGTTCTTATGTTATGTGGATTGGCTGGTTTGTATGTGGATAGGGCATGGTTTCCTGTTCTGAAAAACACAAAAGGCTCTACATCTGACAATAGCACTACAGGTAAGATTAGAATTTCAACAGCCAAGATATTGACTCAGCCCTACCCCAGCTTCTGGAGTAGATATAAATTACCTGTGAAAAGTCAGGCCCTACAATGCCAAGACCACGGCCGCACAACCCAGAAAATCTACAGCAACTAATTGTCTTAATTGTTTGTCTAAATCTAAATTTTATTCTTACCAGTTATTTTAAATACTAGTGGAATACAGAGTAAAATATTGATACTAATCAATATCATCTTCCTCACCTTTAATATGATATTCAGATAATTCCAGAATTTTAAAAAAATTAACTATTCCCATAATATGAGCTTGCCATTTCTGCTGAAATTCTTCCAGTGGTCTTTTGTTTGTATAATTGGTTAGTTTTGCCCATGTTGCATACTCAGCTAGTTTTTCTTTCCAGATCTCTATTGTAGGACAGTCTTCTGTATTCCATTTCATTGCAAATATTACTCTGGCAGCTGTCAACATATATCTAAGTAGGTCTTGTGAGGTTCTGTCTATATTATCTGGTAGGGTTCCCAGTAACATAGTCTCTGGTTTCATCAGGCCATTCCCCTCATTGTTGTAAGGTTCCCTCTTTTGAAATCAAATGTTAGTTTTGGACTTTAGGAATAACTTTCCATTGACCTGAAGGCTGAACTTAATAGCATTGTGGTCACTGTTCACAATTGGTGTAATAACGTCTGCATTTCTCACCAGGTCTTGAGACCCTCTCAGATCCAAGACCACTACCTCTCTCATTGGCTCTGTGACCAACTGTTCCAGTGCACAGTCATTTATGATGTCTAGGAATCCCATTTCTACAGCATGACTTGAGCACACGTTTATCCAGTCAATTTGAGGGTAATTGAAGTTTCCCACTATAATAACATCATCTCCTTTGGTAAACTCCCCTATTTCCTTCTTAGATGTGGCACTCTCTGCAAAACACTGGATAGCCCCACTGGCTTTCTACCTTCATAACTGTGGTTAGTGGTTTAAAAGTGTCTAGAGTGATGCAGGGTCCCCAGGCCTGATCCCCAGGCTAAGAGCCACAGGCCAAGAGCCCTTTGATTCTTGCCCTTCAGCTCATGCCCCTGCTTAGGGAGCCTTACAGTTCAGAGGCCCACAGCCCCCCCCCCCGCTTCCCAGCAGCAACAGCCTGCAATCAGCCCCAGGCAAACAGACCTTGCTCAATGAGCAAGAGACCAGACAAAGACCCAAACAGACCCAGACAAAAACACCAGTCTTCAGAAGACTACAAGCTCCCACTCACCCTCAAACTCTGTCCTCTCACTAAGCAACCTCAGTTAATTCTCCCCAATAATTTAGCAGTTTAGGAAAGGCAAAAAACACTCACCTTCCCAGCAGCTCTCTGTCTGTCTCCCAGCCCAGCTGGCTCCCCACTTATCTTCCTACATCACCAAAGCCCCCACCTTTTGTACTTGCCTTTGTACTCACCTTTGGGCTTGTGTCCTCCTGTCCCAGGATTCAGTAGAAATCCCTCTTGATTTAACTCCAGCTTTTTGCCACACATAAGATTTAGTAGCCAGCTGAAATGTGGTAGTGGGGAAGGACAGCAGATGAGTCCTTGACCCCTACAGCAGGATAGCTCTAAACTGTGACGTTGCAAAAGATTGCCCCCCCCCCGCACTTGTTAGTAAAAGGTAGCAGGAGGTGCAGCAGGAAGGTGTGGCGCAGACATGTACTGAGCTACAGAGCATTAGAAATATGACACCATCTGGCAGGAGATACTCTTAAGTCATTGGGGCCATTTGTGGTTATTTAGGTTGCAACTGGGCATCCTTAGGGAGCAAGGGAAAGGGGTGTGTGCCCAGGTGGAAACTTGGGGTAACTGCGGGGTTCTTCTGACTGCTGGGGGTTTTCTTTTCAATCCAAAGGAACAGAGAAGAGAACAGAGGTGATAGGAGGGCACCAATCCTGTGGTTGCCTAAGCCAAGCCTGCTTCCATTTCTTCGTACCAAGCTGGCAGAAAGAAAGAGAGGGGCAAAGAGAATTAAGCCCTTTTGCTTCCAGCAAGGTCTTCCTGTTGAAAGGTGAAGATGGGCAGCCATGCTAGTCTGTCCGTAGCAGTAGAAAAGAAGTGACTGCAGTGACTCACGAGAGCTCATACCCTGCCACAAATTGCGTTAGTCTTTAAGGCGCTACTGGACTCTCTTTCCCCTTTCAAAGCTCCAGGGAGCCTGTGAAAAAGCCTGCTCTCCTGTACCCTGCCAAGAAGGCAACTGTGAGTAGAGAGAACAATTCCTGCCCTGGAGAAAAATAGTCTTGCCCTCCTCCTTCTTCGCAGTTCCAGGGAGCAGGATTTAACTGTGCCTGGAATGATCTCCTGCCCACATCCAGAGGCACAGTAACCGCTGAGGACCAGTGCTCAGGGGCAGCAGCGCAGGAAGACCTCAGCCTTGAGGCCGCATTTGTTTGCCCTCCAGTGTGGCTGGCCGGCTACTGCGTAAAGCAGGGCGCTGGTGGGCCTGAATCACCATTGATCTGAAGGAGCCGGGCTTCTCCCGCACTCACCAGAGGGATGAGGGTCAGAAGCTGAGTCCAAAGGGGTGGGGGGGGAAAGCAGAGAAGGGAGAACGCCGTGATTTATGCACGCTTCAAAATAGTTATGAAGCTGTCATGTGTGGTTAGGCCCTCTGCTGCCCCGAATGCCTGATGGGCCAGGTTTTTCCACCTCAGGCCCACCTTCTGCACCTCTAAGTCTCTTTGCATGAGTTTGTCAAATGGAGAAATGGGACACAAGTTCCGCAGTAATACCCCTAACCTCCCTGTCCTCTGATGCAAAGGAGAGGCTGGAATGCCGCCGGGTGTTGCCTGGATCCCCCTGGGACACGACAGAGAGGGGGAGGAGCAGGAAGGTCTGCAGTCCACCTCTCTCGTCCTCTGGCCACCTCGGTCCTAATCTTCTCCACCAAAGAATACGTGGGGTTGAAGCCTCCTCCTCACTCCTCCTCAGAGAAATACCAAACGGCAGATCTGTGCCTGTAGACACTTGCACCAAGTTGGCAGACTGAACGCAGCGCTGTGATGGGAAAAGACCACTGGGCAGAATTCCCTTTGCCGTGCAAGTGACCCCATAGAGACCATAGAAAGGGCTCCATTTGCAGAACTATGCAAACCAAGCAGGATTTACAGACCAGTGCTTTTATTGCGTCTCCTAGGCTGGAGCCTACTTTATCAGAAGAATGACATGCAAACAGCAGAGGATAGACAGCAATTCAGCAAGTGAAGTGAGGTAAGAGGAGACTAGAAATGAACAAACATGTTCTGAAAGTAGCGGGCAGCGAAAGCAACTGGATCCCACCAGGGATGGTGAACAAACCCACAGATGTCCCCTGCGCACCCGGCCCTTCCAGGCTAAGAGAACGTAATAATATCACTGGTGCAACTATTACTGTCTGTAATGAGTTACTCAACTGAAATCACAGTTTAAGCCTGATCAGAGTGTCAAAGAAATATGGGGTGACAGAACAAAAAATAGATGGGGTATGGCCCCTTCTAAAGCAGAGGTTTGGCACCCAAAACACACTCCCACTGCAACAGAGAGGCAGACGGTACCCCTCGTATCCTTCATTTGATGACAAGATCAGAATATGAGGACTGCCAGGATCCCAAAGCCAAGGATTCCAGAGATGGTGCCAAAGGCCGGCTGCTGCTTGGCTCCTGCAAAGGAGGAAGGAGGGGAAAGGCCATTAGAGATTTCATCTGCCTCACTGCCTGTGTTTGTGGGTATGAGAAACTGGACTGGATTGTTGGTGGCCGGTTGCAGCTGGGAGGGGAGGGAGCAGGACCTTCGGATCTGGTTAACCTTGGAAGGAATTGAATGATGAAAAACTCTGCTAAATATAGAATTAGAAAAGATGGTCACCATTCAAGAAATACAGCTGTCTCTGGATTATTTATATAGTTGATTAATATACACTTAAAATAAGGATACCGATTATATACAAGCTAATCAAGTCTGGATCTGGCAAATGGGAGATTGCCTGGGAAACCCCTCCACCCTCCTCCTGCGCAGCTATGGAGTCTCCGGATGAAAGAATGCAAGAGCAGATCAACAGACAAAACATTCGATGCCTCTTACCTAGAATAATGAAATGTAACGATCATTTAATAATGAAAACAAGCAGCAAATAATATAAATTAAGACTAGGCATGTCCTCATATGAACTAGTTGTGGGCCCTGGTCACACGGGCAGGAAAATGCGGGGGGGGGGGGAGATAAGCGTGGCTGTTTGCCCCGGTGCAAAATAACGCGCGGTTGCTCGATCAGACGTCCCCTCAAGGTCCCGTCGGGGTCCCGTGGTTAGGGGGGAGGTGCCGATCACACGATGCGGCAAAGAAGCGGCGCAGCAAACAGGGCTGTGTTTTGGTTTTAAACCGAAGTGTGCGCATGCGCCGTTGGGTGCTTGTGCGCATCCCGTGGAGTCTTGGGGAAAAAAAAACCTTTCTGCATGTCGTACCCCACCCCCACCCACAAACCCCCTGCCTACTCCATGGCCTTTCCCTTGAGTCCCTGCGTCATCGTCACGCCCCGCCCCCGGCACTCTTGCCTTGCCCAGGAGGTGATGCCGGCGTGCCGGGGGGGGGGCTGGCTGGTGCGAAGCTCTCTCTCCCCCTCCCCCACGACGACTCGTCTGCTCTTCTTTCCTCTTCGTTGCGGTAGAAGAGAACGGTGCTGCTGGGAAGGGAACCCCCGGGGTGGGGTGGGGTACGAGGGGACATGGGCGGGCATCAGATGCCACCGGAAACACGATCAGACGCCCGCCCTTGCCCCGCAGTTACTGGAAACTAGTACCTCGGAGGTACTAGTTTTTAACTGCACATCTTCAAAGGGAAGCCTCGGGAGCTCTACGCTTCTCAGATGTGGCGCTGTGATTGTGCCTGGAAAATCCGCCTATCATCCATCTCAGTAGCGTGGCTACTGCTCTGTGTGACCGCAGCCATAGAATCATAGACATCTGGAGCAGAGGTCCATCAGTGGCTATTAGCCACAAGGTATAGGTAGGAACTCTCGGTATGGGGCAAGGGATGCTCTGTGTTCTTGGTGCTTGGGGGTGGTGGGGGCAACAGTGGGAGGGCTTCTGGTGTCCTCCTGGCCCCACTGCTGGACCTCCTGATGGCCCCTGGTGTTTTTGGCCCCTGTGTGACAACAGAGTGTTCGACTGGGTGGGCCACTGGCCTGATCCAGCATGGGCTTCTCTTGTGTTCTCTTATGTCCAGGGCAAGGGACGCTCTGTGTTCTTGGTGCTTGGGGGTGGTGGGGGCAACAGTGGGAGGGCTTCTGGTGTCCTCCTGGCCCCACTGCTGGACCTCCTGATGGCCCCTGGTGTTTTTGGCCCCTGTGTGACAACAGAGTGTTCGACTGGGTGGGCCACTGGCCTGATCCAGCATGGGCTTCTCTTGTGTTCTCTTATGTCCAGGGCAAGGGACGCTCTGTGTTCTTGGTGCTTGGGGGTGGTGGGGGCAACAGTGGGAGGGCTTCTGGTGTCCTCCTGGCCCCACTGCTGGACCTCCTGATGGCCCCTGGTGTTTTTGGCCCCTGTGTGACAACAGAGTGTTCGACTGGGTGGGCCACTGGCCTGATCCAGCATGGGCTTCTCTTGTGTTCTTATGTTCTTATAGAGTTGGAAGGGGCCATAGAGGCCATCTAGTTCAACTCCCACCCACTCAGTGCAGGATCAGCCTAGAGCAGGGGTGTCAAACATGCGGCCCAGATCAGGCCCCCAGAGGGCTTCCCTCAGGCCCGCAGTGGAACCAGCCATCTCCTCCTTCCAGTTCTGCTACTGCTGCTGCATCCTAGTTTTCTTCACCAGACTCTCTCAATCACTCAGCCATTTCGTGTTTCCCCCTGGGTCCTAGACTCAGAACTCTGAGCATGAGATTTCTGTGGTGAATGTCAGTAAATCAAAAGTAGGTTTGCAGCTTACAGAACTAATGTTTTAAGCATGTTTTTATTTTAAGTTAAAAAAATATTTTTGCTTGTGTCCTTTATAAAGTTTATATCTCCGCTACCTGGCATTACATTTTATGACACACGTGGCCTGGCCCAACAAGGTCTCTTTTATGTCAGATCTGCCCCTCGTAATGAATGAGTCCGACACCCCTGTCCTAGAGCATCCTCCCTGACAAGAAGGGTTTGTCCAGCTGCTGCTTGAAGACTGCCAGTGAGGAGGGGGAGTTCTCCACCTCCCCAGGCAGCTGATTCCACGGTTGCACAACTGACTGTAAAAAAGTGTTTCCTCATATCCAGCCGGTACCTTCCTGCCCTCAATGTAAAACCCATTATTACGAGTCCTATCCCCTGCTGCCAACAGGAACAGCTCTCTCCCCTCCCCCACTGAACGGCCTCTCTTGACGTCCTCCACCGCGGAGCTTCACACATCATAGCCAAGCCTCCTGGAGGGGCCACCCTGCAAAGTGGTGAAAACAGCAGCTGCCCATGCCCGAGTTTTCTCTGCTGTGGCCCCCACCTGGTGGAAAGAGTCCCACCCTTCTACCCTTTCGTAGAATGTGTGAACAGAAGGCAGCAAGGTTTACGTGCAAGTAGCCTGTGGAGTTTTTGGGGAGCCGGCTCCTCCTACCCATTTTCACAGTATTGTTCACAGGTTGTACGACACTGTTTGAACTTCAGCGTTCCCTGATTGTGAAATTGTTGCCATTTCCACGTCCTTCACATGGCGTAATGCAGTTTTATTTCCTCGTATGTATTATATATGGTACTCGGAAATGCTTTTTATACTTTTTAAACCCATCTTGAGCCTCAAAAAGGAAGACGGAAGAGAAATGAAGTAAACAAATAAATACCCATCTGTTTCAAATAAATTGGCAAAAACTGTTGAATTACTAAGCCCATGAAGCCCGCTAAGGGGAAACCAGCACGGCTTCTGCCTCACCCGCCCTTTGGAGCCTGTTGTGGTCAGACGGTGTTCCAGTTGTGTGGGGTTGGCTGTGTGAGTCTGAGGCAGCGGAACAAAGTCAGAGTCCCCGTGGGGGCACCTTCAAGACCAACAAAGGTTTATTCAAGGTATGCGCTTTCGTGTGCGTGCATGTTAGAGGTGCCACTGGACTCATGGCTAGACAGTGTTATCATCAATGCAATGAACATGAAACTGAGCAAACTCCGGAGGACAGCAGAAGACAGGAGGGCCTGGCGTGAGGTGGTCCACGGGGTTGTGAAGAGTCAGACTCGACTGTGCGACTGAACAACAACAACTTAAGAAAGTGAACAGACATGTGAAGGTAGATTCAGGTGGGTAACCGTGTTGGCCTGAAGCACCAGAACAAAATTTGAGTTCAGTGGCACCGTTAAGACCAAAAGAGTATCTGAAGTCATGTGCACGCACACGAAAGCTCATGCCTTGAATAAAACTTTGTTGGTCTTAAAGGCGCCCGACTGAATCCAAACTGTAGACATGTGGACAGGGCAGCCTGAACCTGAAATAACCAGGAAGGGTGTAGGCAGGGCAGCACCAGAGTCGGATGACTGAGCCTGCTCTCCGGGGGGGGGGGGGATCTGGTACACTTCAAGGAGGCTTTTGTCAAGGTGCCTCACTAAAGACTCACGAGTCAACTTTGCAGTCAGCACAAGAAGACAAGTCCTCTTGTGGATTAAAAACTGGTTTAAACAACAGGAAGCAGAAAATAAGACTAAACGGCCAGAATTCACAATGGAGGGCAGTGAGCCGTGGGGCCCCACAAGAATTGGTATTGGGCCTGGTGCTAGTTAATTTGTTCATAAATTATCTGGAACTGTGGCCAGATCTGCAGATTATACAAAATAAGAAGGAACCTGCAAGGACTTGCAGGGTAAACCTTATTTCCCCCTTCCTCACAATGTCCTCTTTCCCACCCATAGCCCTTCCCCCTTTCCTGCCTCCTTCTCTCCTTCCTACCTGCCAACTGACCTACTTTTATCTCCTCCCCACCCTCAGTATTGCACCCTTCCCTACCCCTGGCACCCTCTACCCAGGAAAACCATGGCCCCTGTGTGGGGCTTGGCTGGGCACATAATCTGCCTCACCTCACGTGGGACTCGGCTGTGCAGGGCGCTGCTGCCTCCCTTGCCTCATGTGGGGCTTGGCCAGGCACTGTGTCTCACCTCACATGGTGCTCAAGTGGGCACCACCCTCTGCCTTGCCTCACACCGAGCTCAGCCGGGCTGGCCACCAGTGCCTGACTCCCCTCATGCAGCGGTTGGTCAAGAGCCAGTGTCTGCCTTGCCTTGCCTTGAGCAGGCCGAGCCCGGGACTACCACTCCCCCCATCTTACCTCTTGCACGGAGCCTCACAGGCCGGGCTCTGCCTCGCCTCCAGCTGGCGGTGTGCCACCTCTCCTGCCTTGCCTTGCATGGGGCTTGACTGGGTAGGGCTCAGTCCCTCTGTCGGAGGGCCCAAGTTGGGCAGCAGGCCATCAGCCCACTAGGAGGCCTCCGGGGGCTCTCAAAGGCCATTCCCCCTGATGTCAAGATAAATTAGGAGGCTGAGAATGTGCAGCTGGCTCAAGGTCACCCAGTCAGTTTGCAAAGCAGAATGGGAGTCTGCGGTCCTGGTCTGACACTCTAACCACAACACCACACTGGTGTTCACGCAAGGGCCGCTGTTGAACAGTAGGCAGCAGCCAGGCCTCAGTGAGTCAGCCAGGTTGGGTGGTCACATGTTGCCCAGTAGTCACCACCAGGCCTGGCCCCAATGAGTCCTCCCTCAGAGGCTACAACAGTCCTGAAAAGGGACCTGCCTCATCTCCAATCCTGTCCTGGTTGCCTAGTAACAGCGGCGGAGGGCATCCAATCCATAAAGCTCCAGGTGCTCCTTAATCATTTGGGTGGTTTTTTTAATCCCCTGGAGTAATTTTCTTTCTTTAGATTTCAGATTTTTCTGCAAACCTGGGTTGTTTTTCAGGCTTGTAGAAAGGTCTGTCTTGACTCTTCACGAGTCCAGTCTCTGGCTTTAAATATCTCAGAAATGGCCAGTGGCTATTAGAATAGATGATGATGATGATGATGATGATGATGATGATGATGATTCAGGGTGGTGGACTGTGAAGAATTCCGGGAGGATCTCTCTGCATAGGGCGACTGGGGAACAACGTGGCCAATGAAGTTCAGTTTTGGCAAGTGTAAGGAGAGGCACACTGGGCCAAAAAAAAGGTCTGACTTTAAACAAAGACTGATGGGGTCTGAACGGGTGGCGAATGAAAAGGACGGGCCGTGGCTCAGTGGCAGACCCTCTGCTTTGCATGCAGAAGTTTCCAGGCTCCGTTCCCAGCAGTTCCGGTGACACGGGTCAGGAGACGGGTGATGTGAAAGACCTTACTCTGCCTGAGACCCTGGAAAGGCACTACCTGTCTGAGTGAGCAGGCAATACTGACCTTGACGTCATTTGACCATTTTTATAGTTATACGGTATTTTATGATTTTATGTGTAAACTGTTGTTTTAATACTGTTTTAATTGTACGTTTAACTGTTGTACACCCGCCCCGAGCCCACTGGGGAGGGCAGTATATGAATCTAATAAAATAAACAAATAAATAATGTCTGTTCCAACTTTCCCAAGGAAAACCCTAACCCTTCCGACACCCAGATTCCCAAGGAGCCCTCCTCTTCTCACTCCGGCTGGCTGTGGTGCCCTGCCCCGTTTTCAGGATTTGATCAATTAACCCAATTGGACAGCACTTGATGTTGATAAGTTTTATATATTTCTCCGTTCCCTCTCCCCCTCCCTTTCACACTTGGGACTCAAAGAGCACATTTACCTCCTTAGTGGCTCCAAGTATGTGGCTCCGAGGGTCTCCAGTGGCACCCAGAACAGCATCCTTTGCTGAGAAGACCTGGGTGGTGTGGCAGACGATTGTGCCGTGGTGGTTCTGAAAAGTGACTTACCTGTACTTGGCAAGCAAGCGGTTTTGTCTCCCGACCATTCCCCATTGCTCTGGCATGTTCTTTCTGCTGATCCAGAAAGGCTGTAGCCAGGACTGCACTGGATTTGGATGACTGAGCCTGCCAAATAGTTTGTGCTGTTTTTACCGCTGTTTGAGGGGAGTTCCAGCCAGCCACATGAAACCACTGAGAGAGGAGAAAGAAATCCCTTGTGAATCAAAGGGCAGGAAAGCCCAGGTGACACGGAGCTTGTGAACAATTCCAGATCCCGTTTGTCCTTCATGGGATCCAGGCTGTAGAACCACAAGATCACGTTCTGAGACACAGAATCATAGAATGTTAGAGTTGGAAGGGACCTTGCAGGTCATCTAGTCCAACCCCCTGCACAAGGCAGGAGCATAGCTGAAAGATAGCCCTACAACATACCCAAAAGATGGTTGTCCAGCCCTCTGCTTGAAAATGTCCAGCAAAGGAGCATCCACCACCTCCCAAGGCTTACAGTCAGGAAGTTTCTCCTGATATTTAGCCGGTAACGACTCCCTTGTAATTTCCACCCATTTGATCTAGTCTTGCAATCTGGAGCAAGAGAGAATAGATCTGCTCCATCTTCTACATGACAGCCCTTCAGATGTTTGAAGACTGCAATCATGTCCCCGCTCTAAGCCTTCTCTTTCCCAGGCTAAACATCCCCAGCTCTTTCAGCCTTTCCTCATAAGACTTGGATTCCAACCCTCTCACCATTCTGGTTGCCCTCTTCTGGACACGCTCGAGCTTGTCGACATCCTTCCTCAAATGTGGTGCCCAAAACTGGACACAGGACTCCAGGTGAGCCCTGACCATAGCAGAATAGAGCAGAACTACCACCTCCCTTGACCTGGACACAATGCTTCTGTGAATGCATCCTAAGACTGCATTCGCTTTCTTCGCAGCTAACATCACACTGCAGGCTCACGTTTAGCTTGTGATCAACCCGAACACCCAGATCCCTTTCACATGTGCTGCTGTCAAGCCAAGTCCCTCCCAGTCCATATCTGTGCCTTTAATTTTTTGTACCTAAGTGGAGGACTTTGCACTTCTCTCTATTGAAATTCATTCTATTTGTCTCAGCCCACTGTTCCAGCCCATCTGCATCATTTTGTATCCTGACTCTGTCTTCTTCAGAATTAGCAATCCCACCCAGCTTCATGTCATCTGCAAATCTGATAAGCATCCCCTCTATGCCTTCCTCCAGGTCATTTATAAAAACACTGAACAACACCGGGCCGAGGACCGAGCCCTGTGGCACTCCACTCGAGACTTCCCTCCATGTAGACGCAGAGCCATTTACGAGCACTCATTGGGTACGATTTTTCAACCAACCGTGAATCCATCCAACAGTTGCACCATCCAGCCCACACTTAACCAGCTTATGACTGGCTTAGATGGGCCACTTGGGGTGGGGGGATCTAAAGCACCCACCACTTGTCAGCCTCTCAAGAGAAGGAGCCTCGAGATGGAGCTAAGTGCTGCGGAGCGCAACTCCCTCCTCCTGATTGGGAGCGGGGGTGAGGGCCAGGTGACTGTTCACCCACCCGAACTTCAGCTGGGGCATCTGGGACAAAAAGTGGACTGGAGGGTTATTGACTCAACTGCTGAAGTGCTCAGGCATGCCCAGGGCCCATGTTAATCTACAACGTCAGGAATGATGGCAGAAAACCTCTGCGCACAGCCGCTGCATGTGTTTCACGGATTCACCCCTTAAGGGCAGCAACTCTTTGTGCCACCGCCTGCCCTCTTGACAAGAACGGGCTTTCAGAAGGCTGCTCCAAAGCCACTCGGGGCCACACGCAGTGGCCCCTGCTGTGCAGAACCAGTCCTGGGGGAAGGCCACGTGCTTGGGACTTCGGCATGGGCCCTGGGGGGTTGCAGGAACAGAGCCATCTCTGTCAGCAGTGCAAGTGACCTAGCCAGGTCTAACCTCTTCCCAGCTGAAAGTCCGGTAAGGACTGGGGTGGGGTGGGGGAGGAGGTGAGCTGACCTGGGCCTGGGGTACGAAGCGATTCCTGCTCTTGGGACTGCCTTGCCAACTGATCCCAGTAACCAAAGGATTCTTCTATCTGTTCCTTTTCCAGGCATTCATTGGGCTGCACAGCATGTTTTGTACAGCAGGTCAAGGTTCCCCCCCGGGCCCCCCCCCCCCCCCCCCCCCAGGCTCTGTCCCGGCACACACTGTCTCCCTACACCTGGAAATCATCCATGACTGCCACTCACCTGGCTGCAGATTCTCTTTGAGGCGCCTGTAGTTCTGATGAGACCATTTTGTGCTGTTCCCCACCGCAAGGCCTCTGGTTGTCAGGACGTCAAACCTGCAGAGGGGGTCCGACTGGCAGAGCAAGGCCATATCCTTTGCTAGGGGGTCCGCTGGGTCCTCAGGGGGAGAGAACACCGGCACAAAGGAGGCGTTGTGCTTTGGTCCGTAGAAGAAGTTGTGCAACAAGTACTGTGTGTCGTATGTCAAGAGTGACGTCGTGTTGCTAATGGCCCCTGCAGTGGGAAAAACAGACCAGGTGAAAAGGGTGGGAGAAGCCCTGGAGACCCCCAAAGACAGGGTAACAGGCACCATTTCCAGATTGTGCCTCTGTTTGTATTCACAGGAGAGTAAGTGTGGCCAGAATGCTGCCCGAGGACCACGAACAGGACTTTCACTCTCAGGGCTTTGTTTAAAATATGTATATGCCTACCTGTCTCCTCTCATGAGCAGGATGCCAGGTAGGTAAATGTACAACAAATAATGACCTTTACAAGTCCATAAGAACAGTACATCGCAAAATGCAGCAACTGTTAATTACGGCATACTTCCAAATTAATATGCAATAAATACATGAAGTAAAAAAACAAACCCAAATTGGTCTACCTGCCCCTGAGAGAGGAGCAGCCTGTCAGACACCGGAGGGAGAGCAGGGCAGGAGTGCAATATCATTCTTCCCACTGAAGTCTCTGCTCTCCGAGTCTGTAGGGGCTCATGAGCATAACGCCTCCTCAGAAGTCTAATTTTGCATATACAAGAATTTTTGCAGGAAGGGAAGGAAGGGGGCAAAAAGTTGGGGGCGGAGAAGCATTCTGTGCTCACAGTGGGAAGCTGTTGCCCCAGGGGGACCATTTCCTCTGCTTTTTGTCAAAATAACACAACTGCTGAGATCAAGCATTTCAGTCATTGCGTAATGCTTTGCCTGCGGAAGCTGGAAGGTGCTTCTGGCCTGAGAAATGCTGGGAATTCACAGGCAGGCTCACTTTGTGACATGGCAAAAGAAGGGTGTGTGAGAGTCCGTGGAGAAGAAATGCCTTGTCTCCTGGTAGGTTGGCAATGAGCAGGATTCTACTATACGTTTTAACCATTTCCCCCTTCTGAGCTAAGAACAAGCGGGGGGGGGGGGATTAGCCCATGGCCTTCCCGAGGCATCCTTTAAGAAATGCTCATAGATCTACCAGGAAAGACAACTGGACGGGCCAGTCCACACACACACACACACCGCCTCCTCCAAGCAGGGCATAGAGGTGGAGGTATTGATTGCCTTCGTGGAGGGACTTCCTGAAGACAACAGGGAAAGATGCCTTCGCTTGGGCTGACCGGGGTCAAGGGGGAGGGGGGGAAACAGAGGTGATGAAACCTTCTGGCAACAGGAAGTACCTTTTTTTCTTTGGGATGCTCAGGTGATGAGAGGACACAGGACTCTTAACTCCTGAGGCAGCCATATTGACCATGTGCTCACCTGGGAGACTGGGAACAAGTTTAAAGGAAACTCTTCAGGGAACTAGAATGACTCAGTTATAGAGCCTGTCCTAGATTTTACCATCAGCTAGGGCACGTATAGAGAAATGGACAGAGTTTTTGTGCGTTTACCGATTCCTTTTGCCTTCCTTGTTCAAATCTGGTGCAGTGCTAAAAGTATGCTTGCAGACATTTTCTTTTTAATAAATACTTTGAACTTTTGATGCTGGGAGTGGTTCTGTGTATCCCATAGACCTCCACCGTTTCAGACACACTATTTTAAGAGGGGTGCCACGGCGAAGGCAGTGGCAAGTGGCTCCTCCCCAGGGGCACCCAAGGCAGCCAACCGTCTCTGTGGTGACCGGGCACACTGGCTCGTGGGAACTGAGGGTCCTGATCCTCCCACTGGGGAATCCCGAAACTGATCAGGTGGTGGTGGTGGTGGTGGGCTACTCGAGAGTGAAACAAATGCCCCTGGGAAGGCAGGGAGGAACAGGGCCTGCAGGGCCACAGCGCCAGAGCCGAGACAGGTCTGGGGGCTGAAGTCTGTGACAGCAAAGAGCCCACCACAGCTGCTCCCCTGGCTGCCGTGTCCCCTCCAGACAGAGGCTCCCTTCAAGGCTGAGTATTTGCGGGGGGGGGGGAGCCCAGTGCTGGTCTCCTTGGAGCCTGTCTACTGGTATCTTTGCACTTCTCCTCAGATACTCGTTGACCTTTGGGGACAAGAGGAAATGAACAGGCCTGGTTTTCACTCACAATCTGCACCGAAGGCAAACAGCTGTTCAGAGGTGCTGCTGCTGCGGAGGACGGTCCCATTGCGAAGAGTAAAATCATCCTGTGGATTGTCATTCATGACACCAAAAAGACCTCGCGTGTGGTTCAGGAACCGCTCCGGCAGCAAAACGGTGACGCTCAGCAGCTGTCCAGTTCCTTTCACTTCTATTCCTACTCCTGAGGAGAACATCACGGTAGCACTTATCCCAGGTACAGCATAGAGGAAGAGACCTGTGACACAGAGAGGACAAGTGAACACTTCTGTGGCACATGCAATTATGGGGCCACGCGTGCTATGAAGCGAATCCCTCTGACAAGCCCCACCTCCTCCGTGCTCTTTCGATGACAGCTGATGTTGAGGAGTGGTTTTTTTAATCTCATAAGAATACCAGAGGAGCCCTGCTGGATCAGACCAATGAAGGTCCGTCTAGTCCAGCATTTTGTCTCACACAGTGGCCAACCGGTTCCTCTGGAGGGGCAACAACAGGGCAGAGAGGCCGAGGCCTTCCCCTGGTGTTGCCTCCTGGCTCTGGGATCCAGAGGCTTAGTGCCTCTGAATGTGGAGGTTCCCTTCAGTCACCGTGGCTAGTAGCCATTGATACACTCCATGAATCTATGTAATCCCCCTTAAAAAGCTGTTTATTCCTGTGGCCATCGCTACATCCTCTGGCAGTGAATTCCACATTTTAATCACTCGCTGTGTGAAGGATTTCCTTTTGTCTATCCTGAATCTACCGCCCATCAGCTTCATTGGATGCCCTTGAGTTCTAGAATTTGGTGGGAGGGAGAAGAATGTCTCTTTGTCAACTCTACGCAACCCATGAATAATTTTATAAATCTCTATCATGTGTGTCCCCCCCCCCCAGACACCTCTTTTCTAAACTGAAAAGTCACAGAATATCCAGCCTTTCCTCATAGGGTGATCCAGTCCTCTGACCATCTTGGCCCTTTTCCAGCTTTGCAATGTGTCCTTCTTGAGATACAGTGACCAGTATTCCAACTGAGTCCACATCACAGATTCATGCAGGGGCGTTATCATGGAATCATAGAACTATAGAATCACATAGAGTTGGAAGGGCCAGACTGGCCATCTAGTCCAACCCCCTGGGCTCAGTGCAGAGCCAGCCTAGAGCAGAGGTGTTGAACTCATTTGTTACAAGGGCAGGATCTGGCATAAATGTGACTTTGTTGGGCCAGGCCATGTGTGCCATAAAATGGAGACAATAAACTGTACAAAGGACAGCAGCTGGTAAGCTCTGAGTTGGTGTGCTCTCGCTGCAAGGCCCCCTGTGGGCTGGGAGGGGGGGTGCAAACTAGAGCAGACTAGAGAGCCAGCGGTGCAGCACTGGGCATGGGCAGGCACTCCCACACTGCTTCACTGTGGCAGATGAGGTTGTTCCACCATGCTGAAGCCACAATCAGTGTGGCTCTGCCCATTTGGCCTCGAGCACTCTCCTGTTCCCTCCTTTGCACTAGTTGCTCGTGGGCCACATAAGAACCCTGGGTGGGTGGCCAGTTCCGGCCCCCGGGCCTTGTGTTTGACACCCCTGCTCTAGAGCATCCCTGACAAGTGTCTGTTCAGTCGCTGCTTAAAGACTGCCAGTGATATTATAATATCGGCCGTTTTGTTCTCAGTCCCTTTCCTAATAATTCTCTAACATAGAGTTTGCCTTTTTCTCTGCTGCACCACACTGGGTTGACACTTTCATTGCGCTCTCTCCACTATGACCCCAAGCAGGCACTCCTGGCCACTCGGCTGTTTCCTGGGCTTTCTTATGCACCCCCTTTAAGCCGGGACTGCACGAGGCGGCCCAAAACAGCTGAGCGGTGGGAAGCAGGCTGCTGTCCACCGCTCAGCTGTTTTTGCAAGGAACAGAAAGCAGGGGTTTAAAGGGACCATAGACCCATCACAAACTTTGGCAAAATTCGTGAAAAGTTTTGCTTCATGCTGTGGGCTCAAGCAGAGTCTACCCACCTCCCTGCTTGAGGCATGGCCTAGCCTTTGCTCCTGTCTCTTCCACACATTGTGGGTGGACTGACGGGGGAGCAGCAGTCCCCTCCTCTCACCTCCAAAACAACTGCTTTTTTTTTAACCACAGTCTGAGACAATAAGGCTAACCACACTCTTTATGGTTTGATTCTCAGTGTGATTTTATACTGCCCTGGCCTTTATTAGGGTTCATATGTCCCTTGAAAGTCCCCTGGAACTGAAAGGCAGCCTATATATCCCCCCCACAACCCCGTGCATCTGTATTCAGAAGTTAGTCCTGTGATGTTGCAAAGGGCCCACATAGCTAACTATGCAAAGGTTGCGCCTCAGTCTAAAAAACCAGTGTTGGCAAGCCAGAACTACACACAAAATACTCAGCCCTTTCTACTTTGTCATTTGCCTCCTTTGTCTGCACAATTTTACTGGCTTTCGCAGCATATGCCTTTCTGCATACTTATTCATGGCTCCAAGGCTACCAATCACTCTGAACAGTTCAGAGGCCTCTTTCTTTGTGGTACTTATTCATGGCAGGCTTTTTAAAGATTTCCATGATTTTAATCATGTTTCATGCCACCTTGAGCAGGTTTTCTGGAAAGGCAACATATACATTTTCCAAGTAAATAAAGTAAATAAAATAATTTTTTAAAAAAGCATTTCCAGTGCTGTCCAACACACTGATTTCGGTGGACGTGGCAAAGGTAATTCTGTTCAAATCCTGCCTCCTCTTGTTCACCGTAACTCATGTTGCTTGTGCACATCATCTACTCATCTGCACTCCTGCGGCCCACTTGCTCAGTTGTGGAGTTCAGTTATCACCCGACTGTGTATAGAACATTCCAGTGTCTGAGTTTTGTTTATTTCCACCAGGGGGCGGTGTTTACCCAAGCCTATTTAGAGAGCTGCATGGCTGTGGGGTTTCCCCTGCCTAAGCCCCAGGCTCTTTCCTGGAGCCCTGCAGGTAATCCTGCTAGACTTGATTTTTTTTTTTACCAGTTTCGCATTGCCTCTCTTTTTCTTCTGGAGGTTTTGCTTATTAATTTGTTGCTGCAGCCTTTAAGCTGCCCTACCTTTTGGGTCCATCCATGTTTGCTCAGAGAAGTTGAGAGCCTTGTGATTCAACAGCACCTCCAAGGTGCTCGAGGAATGTTCAGGAAGGCGCATCTCAACCACGTCTGAGTTGTTCTCCTGCACAGCGATAGCAGAGAAGCCCGTCACCTTGGCCTCAGTTCCTACAAGACATTTACAAAAATCAGTGTAGCACACCAAGTCCCTGGGGATATTTCTCCATTTTTTAAACCAGTGTAAAAAAAAAGATAATGAAATAGTAACAAAATCATATTAAAGATTGTATAGACAACAAAATAGAATACTAAAAGCCAAATTCATTGAAGACCAGTGCCAACATGTTCTGAAGTATTTGCTGAACAAAATTCGAGTTCTAGTCCAGGGGCACTTTTAAAACCAACGAGGTTTTATTCAAGGTATAAGCTTTAATCTGCACGCATGCCTCCTCAGACAGAATGAAATGGAAGTTACTAGTCCAATATGGACTGGTAACTTCCATTTCAATGTATCTGAAGAAGTGAGCATGCACTTGAAAACTTATACCTTGAATAAAACTTTGTTGGTTTTAAAGGTGCCCGACTGGACTTGAATTTTCTTCTGCTGCTTCAGGCCGACACGGCCGACCCCACCTGAAGTATTTGCTGTCTCTCCTGGTGCCACTTCCACCCAAGACCACCTTCCTTTCTCTTGGCTGCAGAAGGGCCACTGTTTGGCTCGCTCACAATTTTAATGCCGGTAGCTCACAAATTAGAATTTTTGCTCACAAGACACTACAGCTTAGAGGGAGCATTGGTCACCGGTACAGCAGGTTCCTCTGGTTTCCGTTGATCCTCTTCTTCTCCGTTCATTGTGAAAATGATACAGGTAGAGGAGAGATGGATTCCTGACTCTCTGTCAGGTACTTCAATAACTCAGTACCAACAGCAGGTCCATAAACAGGTTCAGCTTTATTGACTAGAGCAAGGTGAAGTTGACTTAGACTCTTTGAGTCAGGAATGAGACATACAAAATGGCAATAGTAATTATAGTGGGTTCATACAATACCCCCTGACACCTAGGAGCCAATAAGCAATTAATGCACAGTTCAGGGGTGAGCGGGAGATGCTTTGCCCCAGTGAAGTGCGCTCAAGGCCAAATGGTAGATAAGGAGCGAAAGCAAAATGCAGCTGCAGAGCAATACACATTCCACAGACAGGGGGGGGGAACCCCCATGGTGGGGCTACCCGACACCCTCCCAATTTAGTATCATCTGCAGATTTAATAAGCCTTCCCTCTATTCCTTCATCCAAATAATCTAGGGGTAACTTTCCATTGACATCAATAAGAGCCTCTTATCAAAATCTAGATGAAGAGGAGGAGGAGGAGGAGTTGGAGGATTGATACCCCTTTCCCTTCACTCGGAGTCTCAGAGAGCCTTGCCATCTCCTTTCCCTTCCCCTCCCCACAACAGACAGACCCCTTGTGTGGTAGGTGTGGGGCTGAGACAGCTCTGAGGGAACTGCTCTTGAGGGAACTACTCTGTGTGACTGACCCAAGGCCACCCAGCTGGCTGCATGTGGAGGAGGAGTGGGGAATCAACCCCAGTCCTCCAGATTAGAGTCTGCCACTCCTAACCACTGCACCAAACTGGCAGAATGTGGTAAAGGAAGCAGAATCTGATTTACAGCAGGTGTTCCAACCTTACCGTTCAGTGATGCTTGGCGGGTTCTCCCTTGCACCCTCAGGGAAGTTAGGTCGGATTCTAACACTGTGTATTCACCAAGGCCATTGAATGTGAAATGTGTGCCATCAAAAGTGATAAAATGGGGATCTCCAAAAGCAGAAGCTGTAAAGGCAAGTGCAGAATGTTAATGACAAGTGCAATTTGCAGGAACTGAGTGGAGGGGGGCTGAGCAAAGAACACAGCTGCTTTGCATTATTTTCAATGGCAGGATGAAAGCCATTTGCTTTAAAAATTGAATCTCTTTACACATTGGAAGTGTCTTTAATACATTAATTAATGTACCCACTTTTAAAAATCTCAGCCATTGCCCAAGCTGGAAGCCAACAGAAGTAAGCTATGCCAAGAAACGGGTTTTCCTGTGCAGTTTCTTGTTCAGGTTTTCAACTTTGGTTCAGGCTTTTGGCCACGTGAAATGGCCTGGTAAAGAGACCTTGCAAAAAAAAAGGGGGGGGGGGTTTCTCCCTCTGAAATGAAGCCAGCTATTAGAAGCTTCAGAGACATAGATAAGAGAGATGGGAGGTAACCCAGCTGCCGGTCATTCCATTAGACCTGGTAGCGCCAAGGCTAGACAAACACGTGTCAGGGGTGCTCTAGGGGCTGATCCCGCTTTGAGCAGGGGGGGTTGGACTAGATGGCCTGCAGGGTCCCTTCCCACTCTGTGTGATTCTATGATTGTATAGGTAGGGGAGGGTGCCGTCTGTCTCGTTAGTGCCCGAGATCAAGGGTGGGAGAGAGGACATTCTGGTACAAAGAAACAGCTCAATGACTTTGAAGTATCCGCTTCGTCTACATTCTGAAAAGGAATCAATAAAGGCAGGAGAACGACATACCTGCTCTTGGGGGCTGGTATTGCTTGCAGCCGCTGGAAGGACGGTGCTTGAAGTAGTTGGAGCAGTTGTCAGACCACAAGCAACAGTAGTAGAAGCTGAGGACATCATACACCCAATGGGAAAAGCCTGGGACGCGGGGGGGCTTTTTATAAGGAGGAGCCCCCCAGTCATGCCCACGGTCAGGTGTGCTTCCCCCGTTAGAGTCTCCGGTGAGGACCTGCACTCCAGTGGCATCGTAACAGCACTGCTGCCCAGCGGCGTAGCTTGGGCTGTTGGGGGGGGGGGGGAGAATGGGAAAGTGCTGGCTGAATAGCTGCATTTGAACACATTTTTCGCCCTCACAGATCTTCTTCTCTGAGAGAATCACAGGTTCCGGGCATGAGCAGTTAAGCCCAATGTGGAAGACAAAGCCTTACCTGGCCTGAATGCCCCTCACACAGTGCACCGCTCCTGGGTGGTAAGTGCACACGCTGCCCTTTTCGATGTCACAGCCATAATCTGTCTGCAGGAGAGAGAGAGAGGCAACGCTGGTCAGGTGCGGATTCCAATGCTGAGGAGCCATGGCCTCCTGTCAACTGGAGCACGGCAGAGTTCTGCACTGTTCTGTCCCTTTCCATTCCACGGCATCTTTCGATAGGACAGTCTTTGCACCTGGCTGCTTAGAAATGCACCGATGGGCTGAGCTGAGCTCTCCCGAGAGGGCTTGCTGCCAAGTTTGGGGCAGGCTGGGGGTTGCTGGGCTTGGGCAGAGGCTGATCTCTAGGCTTGCACAGTGGAAGAAGAAGAAGAAGAAGAAGAAGAAGAAGAAGAAGAAGAAGAAGAAGAAGAAGAAGAAGAAGAAGAAGAAGAAGAAGAAGAAGAAGAAGAAGAAGAAGGGGGGCCTGGTGGGGGGGAAACCAAGCTGCCGTGCGTAGCCTTTCCCATTAAGATCCTGTTCCAGCACCACCACCATCCAGCATTGGGGTGCAGGGGCTTGCCTTCCAATGGCACGCCTCCTTTCTCCGAGGGCGGGGGCAAAGAATGGCTCTCGGGGATCAGCTGTCCCAAAGGCACCCACTGACTCGCGGAGTGCCCCAAGTGGCGGTGCTCTCCCCAATGTTATTTAACATCTATACGCGCCCCCTTGCCCAGATTGCCCGGAGGCACGGGCTGCTGGGGTGTCACAAGTATGCAGATGACCCCCAGCTATATCTGTTGGGCGGTCAGTCTGACTCTACCCCGGAAGATCTGGACCGAGCACTACAAGCCGTGGCTGGTTGGCTTAGGCTGAGCTGATTGAAATTGAATCCAATGAAGACAGAGGTCCTGTGCCTGAGTCGGAGCGGACTAGGGGGAGGGATCCCGCTCCCGACCTTTGATGGGGCGCCGCTGGTGCCAGCGCCGAAGGGCAGGCGTCTGGGAATGCTCCTGGATGCCTCCTTGACCATGGAGGCCCAGGTAGCAGCCACTGCCAAGGCAGCCTTTTACCATCTTCGGCTGATTAGGCAGTTGGTTCCCTTCCTCGAATGCAATGATCTGGCAACAATGATCCATGCAATGGTCACCTCGAGACTTGACTACTGTAATGCTCTCTGCATGGGGCTGCCCTTGTCAGGAAGGGGCTCAGCCTCCCCCGGGGGCAACTGGTTCCAGCCACCCTTGCTCTCCCCACCCCATTCTGAAACTATGTTCAGCGGCTGGGTTGAGACCGGGAGGGAGGGAAGTTAGGGTGGGGGCTTGCTTCCTCCTGGAATTGAAGCCCCACCCTCAGCTCCCAGCAGCCCTTAGTTCTGTTGGGCTACATTTTAACGTCTCTATGTGTACAGAAGTATTTCTTTTTGTCTCTCCTGAATCTACTACCCATCAGCTTCATTGGACACCCCATAATTGGTGGGGGGCGCCAGAAGGTGGCCTCGCCTAGAGTACAAAAAACCCTGGAGCCGGCCCTGCCTGGGAGACTCTGGCCGTCAGGAGCTGATCTTGTATGACAGGACAGGACCGTTTGACTGCAGCCTTCCTCCAAGTGGCTCAGGAGGGTTTTCCCTGGGTATTTCCGAACTGATGGCATGAAACCAACAGCTGTGCCACTTATGCTTTCTATCAAAGGACACCTGGCACTGCCTGCGTGGGGGTGGGGGTGTGAGTGGGTGGAGTGCAAGAGAGAGAGAGGGAGGGAGAGAGAGAGGGAGGGAGGGAGGGAGGGAGGGAGAATCACTCAGCAGGGGGCCAGGGTGGGGCTGTGCTTAATGTATTGGACCAGGATCAGTCTCTCTAGCGTACCTCACAGGGTTGGTGCCAGGATATAAGGAGAAATGGGAAGTAACATACTCTGTCCTGGGTATACTTGGCATGAGCAAAAAAATAAAGGTGATAAATGTCTCCCAATTGGAATATAGCTAGAAAACATATCTAGAAAACAGCGTCTCCAGAGGAGTATGCCACAGGAACTCATTCCCCCACCGCTGATTCTAAGGGCTCTTCCAGCCACACTACCGCGCGGATTCTGACGCTGAGCAAAACCTCAGTTTCTTTCCTCACCCCTTGAGGCCACGTGGAATTAGGGTGCTCAAAAAACGTGAGGGAGGGAGTGATTAATTAACCTGCACTAACGCCAAGAGGGTGTCCAGAGGCCTGGCTGCTGTGTGGTTTTTGACAGTGGGCCACAAGTAGGGTTGGGAAATTCCTGGAGATTCGGAGTTTGAGGAAGGGCCTCGGGGGGTGTCATTCCAGAAGGTCTCCAGGCCCCACCTGGAGGTTGGCAACCCTGGATGAGAGTGACCTCTGCGGTGGGTCGTGCACACGCCTGGCTTGAAGTCAGCAGGGCACCACATGCACTGACACGTCTCCCCCACACACCCTTGTTTATTAACGATATTTCTATGCTGCCTTTCCAGAATGCTATTTGAGGACAGTTAAGCGGTGGCTCAAGTGGTTAAGACGCTGAACTGCAGGCTGTGGAAGGTCGGTAGTTCAGCAGTTTAAGACCCGAGTGTGCCGCATGACGGAGTCAGCTCCCGTCTCTAGTTCCAGCTCCTGCCAACCTAGCCGTTCGAAAGCAAGAAATTGCAAGTAGATAAATAGGGACCACTTCGGTGGGAAGGTAACAGCGTTCCGTGCGCCTTGGTGTTTAGACATGCCGGCCACATGACCACGGAAACGTCTTCGGACAGCGCTGGCTCTTCGGCTTTGAAATGGAGATGAGCACTGCAACCCTAGAGACGGATTCGACTGGCTTTCGAGCAAGGGAACCTTTACCTTTAAACAACTTAACCTCGGAGTCACAGCAGAGCACGTGCAGAAGAGAAAAGCCAGCAAAAAACCAGAGGCGAGGCCATAGAAAAATTCCATGGATGGAAGCTCCATCACCAGCATGGATGTCCTCTCCTTGGCAGGGAAAGCAATGCAGAGAACCCTCACTGCCACCTGGAAACAGCCATGTGGAGAGAGCAGGTGACAAGGGGAAACTCGAGGGCCCCTGAGCGACGCGTGTTAGTCTTCGGGTGGGGGGAGAGGGGGGGGGTGAGCTCTCAAAATAAGTCCAGCTTGGGGGAGGAGTGTGTTTGAGGGGCAGACCTGGCAGGCAAGGAAAGGTCCGACATGTCCCTCCCTCCCTCCCCCCTGCAGCTAGCTGGTTTCCCACAAAACCCGGTTCCTGGCTCAGAAATGGGTCAAGGCAGGAGGAAGCAGACTGTGTCAGGAACATCTATCCTCCTGCCTGCTGCCCAGCGCAGGACTCTGCTGGAGATTTGCGCATCTGGTCCAGGGCTGCAAGGCTGCATATACTGGCTTGTTTCTCTCTCTGACCTGGAACTGCCCAAGAAACCCCTGCAGCCCCTGATTATGAAGGGAGACGCAGCCCTAAAGAAGGTTCTGTGACATTCATAGAGTCCCCAGGACACTCCAGGTCTGGGAGTTCAGTTCCAGGGGTGTAGTTTGGCCCTGAGGGCTGCAGTAACAAGGCTGCATCGCAGTGAGCTGCGGAAGGCAAGGACTGACGTGGTGCGGTGGTTAGAGTGTCGGACTAGTCCGGACCCAAAACGGCTGGCTTCCAACCCCCGCTCTGCTGCGGAAGCTCATCTGGTGCTGGGGGGGGGGGGCAATCAGGCACTCTCAGCCCAGCTGACCCTCGCGGGGTTGGTGTGAGGATAAAACGGAGGGAAGGAAAACCGTGTCAGCTGCTCTGGGCCCCAGGATAGTTAAGAAAAAAGGTGTAAGATGTTCTCACCTGCCTGGGGAAAAAGACAAATTCCAGCATAATGCCTCACTTCAGTGTTTGGCCTAGGCTTAAAGACTTAGGGTTGTCAAACCCCCCGGTTTGCCAGGGGTCCCCCATTTTGGCCGGAGGGGGAAGCCCCACCCCCAACACCCACAGCCACCCATCTCTCTCCTTTTAAGGGCGTGCAACCCGTGTTTCATCCCAAGCGCGAACTCCGCAAGCTTGCAGGGAAAAGCCAGCTTCATTCTTAAAAGGGAAACGCAGCTTCTCTTAAAGGGGAAACGCCGGCTGCCTCCACGTAAGGTGGTCAGACAGGAAGGGGAGCCTGGATCTTAGCGGCAACCTACATGGAATCGACCCGTGTCGGCCCTGGCCTGTGCCAAAGTGCAGGGGCAGTCAAGAATCTCTGTCAGGAAACTGGGCAGGTCTTCCTCTTGGTCATTCCAGGCCTCACACTTGGCAGTCGCCCACGCAGCCGAATCTTCCCTGAAGGCAGCTTCCAGGTGCCAAGCCAAGGCATGCTCCGAGCTCCAGATGGCGGCCACGTTGCTGGGGGGTGGGGTGGGCGGGAGTTGGAATCAGAAAAGAGACAGAAATTATTCACTTTTATTTACAAGATTGATACCCTGCCTTTCTGCTTTCTTAAGGAACACCAAGGCAGCTAACCAATTAAAAGCGTACACAATAAAATCACAAAAACCATTCAAACCAACCAAAATTCATTAAAACCAGTGCTAAACTACAACCACCCCCCCCGTAACAATTAAAACATTGGGCAGGAAGGAGGGGTTACTGAGGGAATGCCGGAAGGCCACCTGCCTGACCTCAGAAGGCAGAGGCCTCGGAGGATGACCAGAGCGGTCGGGTAGTCTCACAAGGGGAGCAGGCTGGCCTTCAGGGATGTCGGTCCCAAACCACGTAGGGTTTTAGAGGTCAACAGGAGCATGTCGAATTGTGCCGGAAACAGATGGGGAGCCAGTGCGGATGGGCCCAGACTGGAGTGATATAGTCCCTGCAACCAAGTGGGGGAAAGGCTTGGACGACCACAATATCTGAAGCCACTTTGGCCAAGTCAGGTTGCAGCAAGAGATGTATCATCCTCAAACCTGGGATGTCATCCCTGAGCCCTTGCATGGCTGCCTCAGTGGTGTGGGCTCAGATCAAGCCTGGCATTACAGCCACCACAGAGAGGAGGTTGAACAGCTGCCGGAAGCAACAGGAAATGAGGGACAGCGGGCTGTGACTGCAGGGAAGATGAGTGAGGGCAGATCGGTCAGTAGGTTTCCTGGCTAAGAACTCTCAGGCCATGGGCTCTTCCCTGCTTAAAGTGGCTCAGTTCACTTCAGTGGAGAGCTGCTGGCGGGGTGGATCAGGGGAAAGTAGAATTTCAGTGTATTAGAAACAGGGAACGGCCAGTAAAAATGCCCCATCTGAGCCTTTCCTCTGATGAGTTCTTTCAGAATGCTGTCCACTGGCTCCTGCGAGCAGAGAGGACACAGGCCATGGTGGGAGGAGGAGGAGGAGGAGGAGGAGGAGGAGGAGGAGGAGATGATTGGATTTATACCCTGCCTTTCACTCAGAGAGGCTTCCTCTCCCCACAACAGACACCCTGCGAGGTAGGTGGGGTTGAGAGAGCTCTTTCAAGAACTGCTCTTGAGAGAACAGCTCTGAGAGAGCTGTCACTGGCCCAACGTCACACCAGCTGGTTGCATGTGAAGGAGTGGGGAAATTAATCCCAGTTCTCCAGATAAGTCCCCCGCTCTTAACCAAGACACCAAACCGGCTCCAAGAGCCTCGGTCACTTACCTCTGTCCCTCCAAAGAGCTGCCTGATGTAATCCTCAGGGCTCCCAGTTCCCAGGCACCGTGGAGTGGAGATGGGGCCGGCAGGAAGGAGAACGTGCCCGTGTTGGGGAAGTTTTTTCTCAGAGTGTACAGATGCTTCCATTCTGCAGCCCAGCTCTCGGAGTAAGGCTTGCCTGTCAAGGGAAGGTGGAAATTAGTCAGTCCAGACTCAGTAGGATGTCAGAGAGTGAAGAAGATCAGCACTGAGTTCAACTGGAGACTCGCTCATTGCCATCATAGGTAAGGATCTCCATGGTGGGTGAGGAGTGGAATATTGAGTCCAGCATTTCTAACAGCAGCCAGAGCCACCTAGGTTCTCGACCTTCTATCCCTAGAGGTTCAAAATCAGGGCAAGGTCACTCCTAACCTCTCCTATCGTTTGTCTGTATGAAGAATCGCCACGTGCTCCAGAATTTCCACTCCACAATCAATGTAACTCTCTGTCAAACAACAGATGCGCCCCGCAAAACCTGGTGCTGTTCCACGGGGCCTGCGAGGCAGAAATGTTCCACCAGGCACCTGGCTGGCAACAGCAGCGGGTTCTGCCCTGTCTGGCCAAAAATACCAGGTGCCATCAGGAGGTCCACCAGTGGGGCCAGGACATTAGAAGCCCTCCCTATCGATTCATGGAGGATAAGTCTATCAGTGGCTACTAGCCATGGTGGCTGAGAGGAACCTCCACATTCAGAGACATTGATCCTCTGAATCCCAGAGGCAGGAGGCAACACCAGGGGAAGGCCTCGGCCCCGATGCCCTGTTGTTGGCCCTCCAGAGGAACTGGCTGGCCCCTGTGTGAGACGGGAGGCTGGACTAGATGGGCCATGGGTCTGATCCAGCTGGGCTCTTCCCATGTTCTGTTTCTCCTCAGTTGGGGCCTGGGCAGAGTGAGGAAAGGTGGGTACTGAGAGAGCTCTGTAAATTCATTATTACGATAAAGTTTAAAGTTTGTGCAAAGACTGAGAGTGTTTTAATATGCAGACAGAAATAATGCACTAAGGTAAACGCAACTGATAGATAAATGTAGTAATTTGAGAACACAGAAAAGATAAGCTTAGTAAAATGGATAATGAATTTAGAAATGTAATAAGCAGAAGAAGTGATAAAAGTCTCTTGTTATACGTTATATGTTGTTGGGGGTAGTTGGGGGTAGTTGTGTGTTTTCTGTATGTATGTTTGTAGTATATAATGTTAAAAAAAACAATAAAAGTGTACCCTCGGGTACTGAAGAAAAAAAGAAAAGAAAGAATGCACTTTGAAACAGAGAACATCCCTCCCCTTCGAACAGGAAGAGAAAGAGGACCCAGAAGAGGGTGGGCCAGGGAGAGCATGCATTCCCTGGCCGAGAGGAAAGCTGTGGATCTTTTGAGCTCCCTGTGGACAGAAAGGGGCCCTCCAGAGGACTGTTTCTCCACAGTCTGCTATGCAAAGCAGCACACCCGGCTGCCGTGGAAGCCAGTAGCCCTCGAGGCTCACAGCCACTGAGAGGCCCCCTTTCCCATAAATTTCTTGGATCTCCTTTTTACAGTCAACTCAGCTAGTTCCCACCACCACATCACATGCATGCGAATTCCGCAAGATTATTGGGTGGGGAAGAAGTTCATTGTCCTATCTTCCTGGCCTCTACTGTCAATCAATTCCATTTGCTGATTGTAAAATCCAATATCAGGAGAGAGGGGAATTTCCCTGCAGTCTCCACCGGGTGCCCTGGGTGGTTCCGCAGACACCCTTTCCCTCCACCCGAGCCCTCTCTGCCTTCCCGTGCCTCTCCCTCCCTCCCTCCTCTGTCCCCCAAGCCCTGTGCGTGGGGAGTGGGGGGGAGTGGAGAACACACTCCCCCCCGTGACTATCGCCGCCGTCTGCTTTGACCATCAAGCAACTGCTCTCTCTCTCCTGACAGGAGGGGCATCCAGGGCCAGCAGAGGACGGTGTTGGGACTGGCGTAGGGACCATCAGCAGCTGGTCTGACACCAACTAGTCCCCACTCCTGCCCGTGGCAGCATCCCAGCTCCCTGCTATGCCTGTGCCGTTTGCAGCTCCAGGGCTAGTGCCAGGCCTTCATGGCCTGGGCAGCAGAGGGCATGCCAGCTCTGCCAGCCCCCACAGCATCACTCCCTTGGGTGCAGCTGGAGGACCCCCAAGGCTACCTGGTGGAATGGTTATCCCTGTACATAGGGCTGAGGACTCACCCTGGCAGCCCAGCTGGATGCAGGTGGAGAAATGCTGCTGTAATCAGCTCGTGGTGGACAATGCCAACGTCGAAGGGCACCTCGGTGTTGTGGGCAGCCTGAGTCTCTCCTTGCACACCCCCCCTCCCACTCCAGGAGACTCATGGGACTCCAGCACTGCCTCTGTGCTCCTGGCCCCACGGGCACCCCTGCAGGACGCCCTCTGGATCCCAACCACTGGCGCCGCAGTTCCACTCGGAGGTCACCATCGCTCTTAGGATGGGGCTGGAAGTACAACAAAAAGCACCTGAGGAGTGAGTGACCCTGTGCCCCAACCTACCACTCACAGCCGGTGTCCACCACACCTATGAAGGGATCAACGGAGTCGGCGCAAGAAGACTGCCATGGTTGCCACCCAAGTAACACTGTTTGATCTGAAACTCTACTCTCGCACTTTACTTGAACTCTGTTCCAGAACTTTAGGGTAATTAATCTTAATTGTTATGTGTTTTATGATGGATTTCAATTGCATTTATATATGTATTTTTATGTGAGCTGCCCTGAGCCTGCTTTGGCGGGGAGGGAGGGGGTATAAACGGAAACAGATAAACAAATGAATGAATAAACGGCGGCGTATATGCCCGCCTTTCTCCTGATGACATCAGGACCCTGCAGAACTGGCCATGTTATCTTTAGTCCTTTCTCTAACAATCCTTAGCATGGAATTTGCCTTTTTTACCACTGCTGAATTGATATTTTTCTTGGGTCGCAACTTCAAAATCCCTTTCCTAGGCAGTCATTATCATGGGACCAACATGGCTGTTGACAACTTCTTTCTAGTCAATCACTTCCAGGACCCAACCCAAACGAAGAATTTGTGCCCCAAACTGACAGGCACCGAACCTCCTTGGTGGCTCTTTTGTTGCCTCTTCACCCAGCTTGGAGAGACCTTTGTGGAGCTGTCCAGTGTCTGCTCCGGAATCATTCGGTGCAGCCCACAACCTTGCCTGCCTCACTGCTGTTGCCCTGGCTCCTGAAGTTTTACGGAAAAGTTAAACAGCAGCAGTCAACAGAGACACTTGTACATCCTCTTGTTCTGAACACGTGCTCCTGCCTGGTTTTCTGCCCTTCTTAAAACTACTGACAGTCCCAGAAACAAGTGAATCTCCTTTGTTAGGGAGGGTTTTCTTGACACACGAGTAGCTGTGGTGCAACATTACCTGTTTCCTGATATCCCCAGAGTTCTATGTTGACGTGGCTGGCTGGGAGCGTCTGGTTGTTCCACGTCATAGTCAGGGTCCCCCCAGTCCCAGGAGTGCCATAGTACTGCCACTGAGTTTCATTGATCAAGGTGCTTTTTTCCGAAGCCGCAGCTTTGCTGTGGTGATCTGCATTAGTAAACAAAGCTGCTGTAACGATTTCCTACTCACTGGCAAGCAAAGGAGCAGTTTTGGCAGAGAGGCCTGCCGGGAGCCCTGACCTCTTAAACAGCTGGGCTCCCTACACCTCGCTCTAATGGCGGGGGGGGGGTTTCCCTTGTGTGCTCAGATGGGACTGCCTCCCCCCATCCCCATCCCCATCCCATGGAAGGAAACCCGCTGGCCATACCAGCTAGGCAACAGGTTGGGGTGCCCCCAGATTATTGCTGTCGTCCATTCTTGTTTTCCTTCTTTCACTGTCTCGAGGACAGTCTCTGTTTTATTCTAGGAGGAAGGGGATGTAGCAGAAGAATGCACATTAGGAAGGGAATGGGAATGAATAAGTCACCTGAGAACCACACACTTGAGCGAGGAAAGGATTGCCCACCGTCGCTGGAAATCTCCAGGCTAATCATGCCAGTCTGGTACAGCAAGGGGGAGATGCAGTGAGCGCGTCCATCTTCAGCGACATAGCCACTGGTGACAATTTCCTGCCCAAACCTGCAAATAGTAAACACCAAGCCCACTGAGGCCAACAGAAGTAAGGCAACTGCTTTCACTGGCCCACCCCTAGTAGATCTGGGGCTCAAATCCTTGCGGTCTCAACCACTAACTCCCTTGCTAGATTGCTTCAGCCATCATCTGGTCAGCCCCCCAGTTGTCCAGCTTTCCATTTGTGAAAGGGGAGTCAGAGAGGCTGAAAACTAACAGGTTGATTAAGAGCTCGTGCTGCATGGGCTAGGGCCATGCCTCCTCCAAGGCATGTGATTAGTTGGGCTCCAGGTCCTGAAAGCTCATGCCACAATAAATCTGTTGGTCTTTTAGGGCCCCAGACACATATCGGGTGAATTTTCGAGAAGACTATTCATTTCTTTGTCTGGGACTGAGATACTTGAAGGAGCACCTCTCCCCTTACGTACCCCACCCAGCAACTTCACCACTGCATGCCAGGGTCTCCATCCTTCTCATCCTGCCATGCGGGATCTCTGCCTGGCTGTGGGCTTCCTCTGTGGTTTCCCCATCTTTGTGGAAGAGCCTTCTGGGACACGTGAGAAAGGCTTCCACATTTCGGAAGGTGTGCAAGGAAGAGGGCCTTTGGAAGACGCACCTAGGTTTTAAGTGAGGTTTCATTGTGTTTTGTTTGCGCTGATTGTGTTTTCTGTCAGTTTTTATTTATTTGGAATTTTGTAAACTGCCTGGAGTCTCTCTGGAGAAAGCTGGGCTTAAAATAATTAAAACGAAAAAAATTAAATGAAAATGTGTTGTTTTACAATTATAATACAACTATTGTAGGATCACAATCCCATGGCATTGGTGTGTACTGAGGATCCCAATGGAAATAGGTGTCACAGTATTATTTCTGTGCTATAGCTACTATTTGTATTCACCACACAGGAACCAGAATCCCTAGACGATGTGGCTGGTTGGGAAACAATCCCTGGGAGAAGGGAAGATCCTTGCTGAAGAGCACCAAAACAACACCCCCCCCCCCCGCAAACTGGAGCAAATCTCTAAAACCAAAGGCCTGGCTACTGATGACAGTTTTACAACATTTATTCAGATTAAATTTGCTTTCCTACAAGATATCTGAAAGTAATTGTTCTACATCAGGGGTGTCAAACATGAGGCCCACAAGGCCGGGGAAGGCACAGGGAGGCATTTAAATGCCTCCCCGATCCTTCCAGGCCCCCGCCCCCGGCCTGCCTGCCTTGGAGTCGCTGGAGGGTTCGCTCTCCAGGCCTTGCCTCTGTAGCCAGGCACGCAGAAGTTTTGGCTGTAGTGGGCGTGGCCAACTCTGAAGGCAGCCGGAACTCTGTTCCTGTGCGTTCCTGCCCCAAAATAGCCCTGGTCAGAAGCAACTTGGCGGCACACACAGGAATTCCTGTTTTTTTTTTCTTTTTTAAAAAGCCCTCAGGTGCAGGGGGGAAATGGTGGCCACAGGGGGCTGACCAAGGAAAGTACATGGCAAAAGGCTGCATGGATGTTCCCTTGTAACTGTGGATGCACAAGCAAAAGCAGCAACAAAAGCTACACGGAAAGCTGTCTGTGTGGAAGCTGTCCAAGATACCTCCTGGATTGAAATGGGTTGTTCAAGGTCTCCATCAGACACATCACATTTGACCCATCCAGGAAAAATAATCCACTTCAACAACTATGACTATAAATGTGGCAGGGTATAGAATTGGGATATGAGCTAACTTGAGGAAATTACTATTTCCTTGATGATTCTGTTCATTATTAACTGGTAAAACCTCATACTTTCCCTTTTGGGATACTTATAGATTTAAAATATCTATACAGATAGAATCATAGAATCATAGAGTTGGAAGGGACCTCCAAGGTTATCTAGTCCAACACACACACACCCCCGCATAGTGCAAGAAATTCACAACTACCTCCTCCCCACCCCCCAATGACCCCTGCTCCATGCCCAGAAGATAACAACAACAACAAAGACACCCTTGAGGATCCCTGGCCAAACGGGCCTGAAGAAAATTGCTTCCTGACCCCAAGGTAGTGATCAGCATTTCCCTGGGCATGTAAGAAAGGGCTATGAGAACTAAACACTGATGCAACCCTCCCTGCCCTCCCTCTCATTATCTGCCTTACTTCATAATGAGTCATGGAATCAGCATTGCTGTCAGATGGCCATCTAGCCTCTGCTTAAAAACCTCCAAAGAAGGAGAGCCCACCACCTCCTGAGGAAGCCTATTCCACTGAGGGACCACTCTAACTGTCAGGAAGTTCTTCCTAATGTTTAGCTGAAAACTCTTCTGATTTAATTTCAAACTGTTGGTTCTGGTCTGACCTTCTGGGGCCTTTAACTTACAACAGGAGTATAGAAGAAAGGCACTAATTGTTCATTCATTTATTTGAAGCCCTGTCTGGATCTATGGTGGTCAGGGAAGCTGGCTACAACCCTGTTATGTCCTAGGTTTACTGAATTAGGGAAAAGCCAAGTTGTGGGGCAGCTATAGGATTTCCAACTTTCAGGTGGGACTTGGAGATCTTCCAGAATTAATAGATTGCAATAAATAAAATGGTTGCTCTGGAGGGTGGACTATAGCATTTATACCCTACTGAGGTCCCTTTCCTTCCCAAACTGTGCCATCAGCAGGGTCCACTCCAAATCTCCAGGAATTTCCTAGTTCATAAGAACATAAGAGATGCCAATGTTGGATCAGGCCAAAGGCCCATCCAGTCCAACACTCTGTGTCACACAGTGGCCAGAAATACCAGTGCCATCAGGAGGGCCACCAGTGAGGCCAGGACATTAGAAGCCCTCCCACTGTTGACCCCCCCCCCAAGCACAAAAAGACAGAACATCACTTGCCCCAGAGCCCCTATCTATACCTTGTGGCTAATAGCCACTGATGGACCTCTGCTCCATATGCTTATCTAGTTCACAGTTGGCAACCCTAGGTGGTGGATTTTCTTTGAGGACAGGCTAGCAAAGCAACCAGGGGAGGGAAGCATTAGTCAGTCCTTCTCGCCCCACCATTCTTCACCTGCACAGAGGTGGAGCTGGTGACCCATGTTTATTGCTGAAACATGCAGTTCTCCTTGGAGCTGTTACCCAAACCTGGGCCAGCCTCCCTTCCCTTTCTGCTTTCAGAGTTCTGCCTTTCCTAAGACAGGGTTGCCACATTCAAGGTTCCCAGCTTTGACAATATAATTTCCATATCATGCTAATCAAGTGCAGTACTTCTTGCTTTGCCTCTCCTCCTGTTCACTAGCACCAAAAAAGTCAGAGAAAACATCTCTTTGCTCAGTTTGCTGTTCACCCCAGGACTTGCTCAGGCTTTTTTCTGAGAGAACAACAAAGCTGGTCTGAAAGAGAGAAAGATGGAACTGAGTCCCGGGCCCTCCAGGCCCTGCTTTCCTCGCTTTCCTCTGGAGAACGTGGCTTTGCAATGTCCATGCAGTGGGTGCTCTTGTTTGTTCTTCTCTCACATCTTGGGCCATGGACAATGACACACTCACAAACCTTAGCAGGCAGTTTTTAGCCTGAATAAACAAGACTGGGAAGGCTCTTCTATGCATACCAAACTCCAGTTGATTGCAGCAGTTGTTCACTGGTTTCCATTACATTTACTGCCAGTGAAGTGCAACTAGGACTGCAGCCTTAAAGGCTAATCCTTATTTGTTGTTGTTTAGTCACACAGTCGAGTCTGACTCTTCACGACTCCATGGACCACATCACGCCAGGCCCTCCTGTCTTCCATCGTGCTCCGGATTTTGCTTAATTTCATGTTTGTTGCATCGACAACACTGTCTAACCATCTCATCCTTTGCTGTCTCCTTCTTCTTTGACCTTCAATCTTTCTCAGCATCAGGGTCTTCTAACCGTTATTTACTCAGAAGTAAATTCTATCATAGAATCATAGAATCACAGAGTTGGAAGGGGCCATATAGGCCATCTAGTCCAATCCCCTACTCAATGCAGGATCAGCCTAGACCTCCAAGAGGTCTGGAAGATGATTGACAAAGGCTCCAAAAGCTCTCTAGAAAGATCTGTGAGCACTCTTGGGTGCATACCATCTGGCCTTGGGGATTTGTACTCACTCAATGCAGCCAGGTGCTTCTTGACTACCACTCTGCCCATGTCAACCAGCAGCCTAGATGCTGTGACTTGTCTACCATCTCTAGAGGAGCCTGTTCTCTTCTTCGGGCGAAAAAACCTGAGGCAAAATAGGAATTGAGCTTTTCTGCTTTCTCTTTGTCCTCTGTAAGAGTTTTTCTATTTTCACCCAACAGTGCCCCCACCATCGCCTCTTTTATCTTGCGCTTGTTCCTCACATATCTGAAGAAGACTTTCTTGTTGTAGCAAGCCTCCCTGGCCAGCTTTAGCTCTCTGTGAGCTTTGGCCTCTCTGCTGGCTGACCTACAGTGCCTAGCAACCCACAGATACTCTTCTTCAGAGGTATGTCCTTGCCTCCATTTCTTGAACATTTCCTTTTTCTCCCTTGGCACATCGTGCATCCACACTGGCTTCTTGGATCCCCTGCCATGTTTCCTTCTTGTTGGAATAGCAACAACTCGAGCTTGCAAGAGCACTTGCCTTAGGAGAGCCCACCCTTCACTTGCTCCTTTTCTTTCCAGCAGTCTTGCCCGTGGAATGAGTCTCATCATACCTCTGAGTTTATTAAAGTTTGCCTTACTGAAACCTAACTTACACGTGTGGACTTCCTTGGTCCCCCACAGCAAATGGAATTCTACCAGGACATGGTCACTTCCCCCTAAGGTCCCGACTACCTTCACCCCGTCTACCATCTCTTGCCTCTTGGTCAATATTAAGTCGAGTATGTCCAAGCCCCTCGTAGCTTCCTCCACCATTTGATGAAGGAAGTTGTCCAGACAGGTCAGGAATTTACATGACTGTGGACACTTTGCAGAGTTTGTCTCCCAGCACACATCAGGGAAGATGAAGTCACCCATAACTACTGGTTCATGTTGTTTGATACCCTGTCAAGCTGTTCAAGGAGGGCAGCATCCACCTCCTCATCCTGGTCAGGAGGTGTGTGGCAGATTCTAACCACAATACTGTTTTCTTTCCTTCCTTTATCCTCACCCAGATACTTTCTACTGGGTTGTCACCGTCCTCCTGCAGTATCTCCTAACAAACCCTCTCTTCACTTACAACCAGGGCCGGCTCACCCACTAGGTGAACTAGGCATTCGCCTAGAGCGCCGGGCCCTGGATGGGGCGGTGGCCAGCCCTGGATGGGGTGCCAATCTCCCCCGCCAAAAGCCTGAACGAAGGCACGGTCTGTTTTCTTCGCTTCCCGGGCAGCTGACGCGTCACATTCCACCCCAGTGCATTGGGACTGGAGCTTGGAGCGACGGCAGTGGGCGGCTCCGCCCCCGCACCCCTGGCCCCAGCTGCAGAGCCACCGTCGCCAGGAGGATGCACTGCCTCCTGGCCTGGCTTCTGTTCTGGGCCTCCTCCTGCCTGCTGCTCTGCTGCCTGCTCGGGTGAGTGGAGGGCGGCAGTCTGCCAAGGGACATGCAAAACTGGCTCGGCTGGGCAGAGGGAGGAGGGGAGGCCGGAGGAGCCTCGGGGTGGCTCCCCTCCCCCCTCACTCCAACCATTCATCCAAGACAAGTGTGGCTTGTCTACACGGGCTGTAGACGTGGCAGTCAATCTGAATACGCTTTCGAATTCGGCTTCCAAAATCCTATCCCGGCCGTGTTCAGGCAAACAAGGGGCAAGCGAAGATGGTGCGAAAGAGAGGAACTGAGCGCTGGATCTGGTTACCTGAGTTTTAAATCAAGGGCCTGGAATTTAGTCAGTTTCATCAGCCTCTGGTCAGTTTCATCAGCCAGGGCTCTCCAAGGTGGAGTCCGTAGCTTCGGAGAAAACAAAGCGACGCCAAGGCAAAAGGAGAGCTGATCCCATCGCAGCCACTGTTGCGCCCACGAGGCAGTGACTGCTTCCTTTCACACGATCCTCTTCTGCGGCACCAGAGTTTAACCCACGGAAGGGGTGGGGAATGTAGATCCTAAAACGCCGGTTCGCCTTTGCCCGGTGGTGTGGCCCGGCTTTGGGGGTTTCCAGTGCCGGGAGGCAGCCGTCCCTTAGAGGGAGGGAAGGAGGAGAGGGGAGAGAGGAAGGGTTGGCCAGCCGGCCAGCCGGTGCCTCGGAGCAGCGCCACGTCTCTCTCACTTGGGCCAGAAAGGGAGGGCGCACCAACAGCGGAGAGAAGGGCTCTCTGGGGTGCACTCTGGGAGGTTGGCAACCCTGCAATTGGGCGTGTGTGTGGGGGGGGGGGCGCCAGAAGGTAGCCCCGCCTAGGATACAAAAAAAACCTTGGGCCGGCCCTGCTTACAATGCCACTCCGCCTCCTCTTCAACCCTTTAGGTTTCTCTTGAACAACTCGTATCCATCCACTACCACATTCCAGTCATGTAATGCCTACTGAATCATATCCCTCTGTCTGCATTAGAAGCTCAAGCTCTTCCTTCTTATTGCCCAAACTCTGAGCACTGGTACATAGACGCCTGAAGCCCCGCACCTTTAGCTCCATTAGACCTGGCCCTCTCAGGTGGGCGTCTGTTGTTTGCTCTCATTCACTTAAATCCCTGTGTTGGACATCTTCCCCTTGTGGTGCCAGTTTAAAGCCCTATTTAAATGGCATTTGTTTCCAAACAAGTGTGCAGAGGATTGCAAAATACTGCAGTAATCTTGGAACATCTCCCAACCACATGCTGTAATACTGAGCCCTCTGCATAAACACTTCTGAAACTTTCAGGCCATAAACACAGCCTGGAAATCAGTCACTTATGTTTAGATTTTTAGGTAAACCAGATTCCTTTTCAGTTTCTACAGCTTCCAAAAATAACTATCAGATTAACAATATTTATTAATTACTTATTAATTTATTTTATTTATGTTCTGCCTTTCTCCTCAATGGGTACCCAGAGCAGCTTACATAATTCTCCTCTCCTCCATTTTATCCTCACAACAACCCTGTGAGGTAGGTTAGGCTGAGAATATATGACTGGCCCCCAAGGTCACCCAGCAAACTTCCATGGCAAGAATGAGGCTTTGAACCTGGTTCCCCGGATCCTTGTCTGACAGTCTAACCACTACACCGCACTGTGTGTGAATGATTACTTGTAAAGGAAACGTGTTCTTGATGTGCTGTACCTACAAATCTGGGACTAAGTATATCTCCTGTGTCTACTAGGTGGAGTGGTGAAACATGTAATTGAGTCACAGTTGATTTATGGAGACCACAAAGAGTTTTCAAGGCAAGAGATGTTCAGAGGTGGTTCACCATTGCCTGCCTCCATGTAGCAACCCTGGACTTCTTCAGTGGACCACCAGTAGTCTCCCACCCAAGTACTAACCTGGGCTGGCCACACTTAGTTTCCAAGATCAGGGTAGCCTGGATCACACAGGTCAGAGCATCCAGACACTAGGCTGAGTCCCAGTTTGGTGTAGTGGTTAGGACCGCAGACTCTAATCTGGGAGAACTGGGTTTGATTCCCCACTCCTCCACATGCAGCCGCTGGTGTGGCCTTGGGTCAGTCACAAGTTCTTTCAGAGCTGTTCTCTCAAGGCCAGTTCTTGAGAGAGGTCTCTCAGCCCCACCTACCTCACAGGGTGTCTGTTGTGGGGAGGGGAAGGGAAAGGAGTTTGTAAGCCGCTCTGAGACTCCTTCGGGTAGTGAAGGGCCATGGGGTATAAATCCAATCTCCTCCTCCTCCTTCCCTTCCTCATTCCCCACACCCAATTTGGCTCCTTTTCACTTCTTGGTGCATCATCTAATGTTATTTCCCAGTTTTGAAAATATAAAGAGAGCTTCAGTTTTCTGCTGCACTCAGCCTTACAGACTGCTGGGGACCTTTTATACTTTATTATTATTCTTTTCTGAAATAATTTTGAAATTTACAACAAAGCATAAGATGCTTTCCCTTAAAATTCCTAGGCTGATCCTGCATTGAGCAGGGGATTGGACTAGAGGGCCTGCATGGCCCCTTCCAACTCTGTGTGATTCTATGAAAATTACTTCATTTTGTAAGCCCGGTAAAGCCTAAGAAGCAGAACACAGAGACAGGCTACCCACTGTGGCCGTAAGCCCTAGCCCAGTACCTCTCTTGGACCTATTCCATTTCCATGCAGTGATTTTTCTTTTAACATTGTGCTTAAAGTAGCCTCCTGCTCTCTCGGCGATGCAGGCCTGCTTCCACACTGGAATGCCATTTTTTTTAGCATCCTCAGGACCTCACCCCTCTGGTGGATAGATGGGGGAAGTGTGATGGCTGCTGGTGGTGGGGCGCTGCAGAAACCTGGCTTTGCTGCCAGTGCCTGTGGCTTTGTGTCCAGGCTGGCAATGAATGATTCCTTGGCATGCCACCTGCCACTTCCTAACTGACCGTAAGGGCTACGGTCTACGACCATCAAATGCCCCTCCCCATGCAAATATATCTCATCTGTGTGTGTGTGTGGGGGGGGAATGAATGAATAAATGTCAAGAGAATCAAAGCATCACAATGCAGAACTTTGTGATTTGTTGTTTTAAACTTTTCCACATGTCCTAGAGTTGTCAACTCTAAGCTGGGTAAAGTCCTGGAGATTTAGGGGTGAAACGTGAGGAGGGTGGGGTTTGGGGAGGGGATGGGCCTCAGTGCGGTATCCTTCCTGACATTTATTCCCTCGACCTAAGTGAGGTTTCTCAACTCACCTGCATTTCACATCAGCAGAGATGTCAAAGGTCACATTTAAAATGGTAAAATCTTTTCCACCAAGCAGAGTTCCTGAATAAGGAGAGATATTCAGGCAGAATTCCCAGTAATCAGGGCAGCAGATTCCCAGGGACTCACACGTTGCTTGGCAAGAACAGGCAGTCAGAGATCCTCCACACTGACTTGAGCAAGAATGTTGGGCTCCTGTTTATAAAATTGAAATTGTTAGTCCCAGTACTTATAGCCTGCATTTCAATGTCAAACCATATACAGTGTGGGAAATTCAGGTGGGTAGCTGAGTTGGTCTGAAGGACCAGAACAAAGTCTAAGCCCAGTGGCATGCATACAGTGTGCTTTACAATACATCTTAGAACCATAAAACAATATAGAGACATTATTTTAAAACTAAAGCACAATTAAGATTTAGCAAAATCAATGATAATAGGATCCAAGTTTGTTTTTTATGTCCAGCAGGGGTCAATAGAAACATTCCAGAGGGCTTACAAGAGACAAAACCCCCTAAAAGGAAAATTAAAAGCTTCAAGTGGGAGGAAAGTCAGACAAGAAGGCAAAAGATGTTGAGATAATGTAAAGGTCATGATTTAAAAAAAAGGTTTTGCCTAGTGCTTTAAAAACTTGCTAATCTGGTGTCAGGTGAACTTCTGTAGGGTTAGGGTTAGTTCCAAGGCACATTCCCCTCACCTTTGTGGAGAAGGGCAGACGGGGCAACGCCTCTGGCAGAGATCACAGCAGGTGGGCATGTATAGGACCTGTTCCGACTGCTGCCAGTAATGCCGCTGAATAATCAGATTGAGGGGGGAGAAAGTTCCTTCCTTCCTTCCTCAGGACACTATATTTGCTCGAATGGATCCCAAGTTGGATGTTTTTAGAGGTGTTTTCTGTTGCCTTTGATAAGATGGTGCACTGAAACTTCTTTCCATCCTAACTGGCCCAGTGTCCTCCACCTCCTCTTCTGTCTCTGGCTACCCCACTCTCATACTGTCTTTCCCAGGAAAGCAGTTGGTAACTCTTACCCCCTATTTTGAACAAGAACCACCCTATCTCTGAAGTGAAGCAGACATTGCCTTGTTTCTATCTTGCACACTTCTGGACTTAGCTTTACTCCTGCATGCCCAGGTGATGGCTGGGGACAGTTGCCATCTGCCCTTTTTACTAATACACCAGCTGCCAGAAGACAGGGGCCCAACTACTGTCTTTCAAACAATCCTGGTTTGCAAGATCGGCAATGGGAAGCCATGACAGTTGATTGAATAGTGAATACAGATGAGTATAAGTTAGCACAGACATATCAAATCTATCGTAAAAGTACACTGATCACCAGAGTGTTTTTGAGGTGCTGGCTTTGACCCATGAAATCGCAAATGGTTTGGTGTCCCTCTTGTAGGAACCTCCTCCAAATGAGAGATTCACAACCGAGGTCTTATTTCAAGTTCTGTCTTATGTGACTGCCACAGAAATAATTTAATAAAGCATATAATTAATTTTGAACATGGTCAAAACTCCAGATCTAAAAATCCACGCAATAAGGCCATGTAAACTTCTCCAGGAAAAGGCCATGTCTTTTTCTACATCATGGGTGACCCTCCACCCCCCACCCCCCAGTTTGCAAAATATGCAAAATGTTTTAAAAATTGATGTGGTTTAAAATTCCCCCAAAACCAAGAATGCTGACTGAGATCTCACAAAAGCTCTTGAGATCACAGTTGTTAGTATGGACTTGACTAGCTCCCAAGGCAGTAGAGACTGGGCCTCGACAACTCCCACTTGACTGCAGCTTGGAAGAAAGCAGCAGAGGAAGTGGTGAGGGTGGGGGTGGAGGGAATGAAAAACAAGGGGAGCAAGAACACAGAAGAAGCTGCAGAGATGGGGGGCAGGGTGGAAGGTGGGATTTCCCTCCCCTATGAGTTTCCCAAGTCCCCAGGCTGTAAATCAATAAACCTCACAAGAAGCAAAGCCTTCCATAACCTGGAGCACTAGAATGTCATTCTAAGGGATGTTACCTTTTAATGGCACCCCAGAGTCAGAGTAGATAAGTTTGCTCTTTGTGCTTTTAATAATCATTGTCTTCTATTTGTTACAATATTTTTACCTCACCTTCTCCTCCTAAGAGCGCTGGAGCTGCTTTACAAATTAAAAAATACACAGCAGCTTCTGAATATGCTCAAGCAACAGTAAAATTCAATAGAACAACAAATGAGGCAGATTAAAAAACTAGGCCCAGACTAGGGTTGCCAGTAGGGTTTATTAATTTAATCTCAGAGTGGGAAGAGACCACCAGGGTCATCTAGTTCAACCCCCTGCCAATGCAGGAACTACCACTATAATATCCCCAACACAAGCAGATATCCAAGAAGGTACTTAAGAAGACTCCAACAGCAAAGAATCCACCACCTCACAAGGAAGACTGTTCCAGTGTCAAACACATCTCACCATCAGGAAATTCTTCCTCAGATTTAGATAAAACCCAAACCCACTATGCTGTCATTGGCCTGAGTCCTGCCATCCAGTCATCCAACATGACTGAAAATGTATCTACCCCGTCTCCCACATGACATCCTTTTAGGTATTGAAAGGTGGCAATCATATCTCCTTGCAAGCGTCTCTTAGAGAGAGTCTCATGTCCTTCAGCCACTCCTCATAGGCCATGGCCTCCAGACGTCTCACCGGCTTCATTGCCCTACACTGGACTCATTCCAGCTTATCAACATCCTTCCTAAATGGTGGTGCCCAAAACTGAACACAATACTCTGAGTTAGATTTAACCAAGGCAGTGTACAGCGGCACCAATACCTCTCATGACCTCAACCTTTCATTATACTTCTGCTAAGGCAGCCTAAAATTGCAGTGGCCTTTTTTAGTGCTGAATCACACTGCTGACTTATAGTAAGCTTTTGGTCCACCAGAACCCTCCCCCAAATCCTTTTCACACATTGTACAGCACAGCCAGATTTCATCCATCTGATATTTATATAGACTGACTTTGGTCCCTGCCAAACTTGAGACGCCGCAGCGGGATCCCACGGATCCCCTCAGCCGCGGCGCATCGCTCCCCGGCACGATCAGATGCCGGGGAGGAAGAGACGAGGGGGAGGGGGAGGCTGCCGAACTGCGCATGCTCGAGCATGCGCAGTACGGCAGGGGGCAGGGATGCGCCGGCGAAAAGATGCGCCGGCGATCCCATGGCCGCATTTGCCGCGGCCCATTCAATTGAACCATCTTCTTTGATGCGTGTTTCGGCCAGTTGGGACGGATCGGGGATGGCCATGGCACGATTGCCAGATGTTGCTGTGTGATCGCACCCGTTTGATGCGGCCCCGATCCGTCCCTCTCCCGGCCCAAAACGCCTCGTGTGAACAGGGCCTTTTATTACCAAGTTCAGCACTTGCACTTGTCCCAGTTAAGCTTTATTGTATTTCCCCATTTAATCCAAATTCAGCTGCATCCTTGTTGTGTCCGCTGACCACCACCGGAGGTCAGCGCACACTCCTGAGCTTCAGTCCGGTACAACAATGGGGACTAGGATTCTAGTCCCTCCACTGGGGGAACCAATGGGACCTTGGCGGGAGATTCAAACCCACCAATGGGACCCAGGGGATGCCCCTGGATTGTGTATATAGTTGGCCTGCTGGCCGTTAGTCTTTAGTCTTGTTGTGTACCAGTAAAGATATACTGATCGCTACATCAGTCTCCATGCTTTCTTTATGCGTCTAACCCACTACACTTCAATGGCGATGAGGATGGGATCCCGCTGAGCAACCAGCCGGGCTGTCGGACACTAAAGGGAAAGACAACGCACCGCCACCCGCGCTCCGCAGTTCGATGAGCACCGAGGGTGAGCCAGCCGCTTCCCAGTCGCGGTCACAGCCGCGGACCCGCCATCGTAGAACTTGCACAGCATCTTCTCTCCCCCAAAACGTTCGATGAGTGCACCTTCGAAGAGATAGTCGAGGCCGTCCAGAACCACTACACGCTGAAACCGTCGGAGATGACCTGCCACGTGGCGTTTCAGCATCGGAACCAGTTAGGCCACGAGAAGGTTGCCGAGTTTCTCGCCGAGCTCCGCTGCCTAGCCGCAGACTGTAAGTTCGAGGGCTACTTAAATATGGCGCTGAGGGACCGGTTCGTCGCAGGGCTGCGAGACGAGAAGCTGAGGCGACGCATCATGGAGGGCGAGAAGGTTACCATTGCATCGGCCAT